TTTAAATTACATTTATTTATTTCAGTTGGAAACCATGTCTACACCTTAATAGGTTATCTGTAGTGATTGTGAATGAAAGCGCAAACAGTCAGAGGTAAAATAAAATACAATGCAAATGAGCAACCAAATGCAGACTGCTAAAGAAAGATTTCCTTACCAGTTTAGTTCTCCAGCATTGGTTTGTTGTGAGATAAGTGCCTTCCAGAAGCCATGGGTGGTTTTGATTGTCTCAATGGCAAAGTCCTGGAATAAATGTAGCATATTTTTTAGTGCTGTAAAGGCTTATGACCAATCACAAATGAAAGCTTGTGTACAGCCTTTTTTCTGAGCAACATACCTTGTCTTTGAACTCTCCGTTGAATGCAAACTTGTTTTCAGGTTTCCCGTCGGGTACCTTGTACCTCCTGAACCAGTCAACTGTGGCCTCGAGGTAACCTGGCTTGAGTCTCCTCACATCACTAATGCCTATATTTCACATCAGATGAAAGAAAACAATCACATATCTGCCTCTCTTTTCCGAGTCAACAGGAAAGCAATGAATGTTATTTACTGTTCAAGTCCTTTGCCTCAGGGTCATCAACGTTGATTGCAATAACTTTCCAGTCAGTTTCACCTTCATCAATCATTGCTAAGACACCCAGGACTTTCACTTTGATAACATCTCCACGATTGCACACCTGAAAAGATCAAGAATTGTGGAGTTTTTTCATCTAATCCAACTTGAACTGCACAACGACAACTTGCTCCATTATAAATATGGCTTAATTCCATGCAATACTTCAAATGACAAACACCAATATCAATACCTTGCTACCAATTTCACAGACATCGATCGGGTCATTGTCACCACAACAACCTGTGTCATTGTCTTTGTGCCCGGGGTCTTCCCAAGTCTGTCAAAAAATATTTAAAGAAAGTTGTTGTAAAATCTACCATTGTAAAAAGTGTATCATGGTTTCCACAGCACAACTGTTTTTAACATTGATAATAATAAGAAATGTTTCTTGAGCACCAAATCAATATATTAGAATGATTTTGGAAGGATCATGTGACCCTGAAGATGGGAGTAATGATGCAGAAAATATTAAAAATAAAAGGTCTATTTAATGCATGATCAGTGCAGATTTAAAAGGCTTACTTGAGGGATTGCTCCATAATTCCAAATATACCCTTTGTGTGGGAAAACATTGGCCACATAGCGCAAATTGCCCTTCTTCACATCTTGCTTTATGGGGTTCAGAGCGTCTTTTGTAGCAATCTGAAAAGTAAAGCATAATGTTGACTTGCAGTATTATTCATGCAGACACCAACTGGTTGATGATTTTGTCTGAATGTAATACACCACAAATGTAGGATAAAAGTGTTTTCTTTTCAATACCACTTAATCTTTGTAAATGTATCCATTAATGTTTTAGGTGTGTAAATATATGGCCTTACAATATATGAGGCCTGTTGCAAAGTCCTCTATTCTATTGTTTTATTGTGTTATATAAGCTTGGCTAACGTCAGACCGACTTGGGTCTGAGAACCACATGTGGATTTTCTCGTATTTGAGGCGTGGTTTACGAATGCCTAGAACCGTTTATTGGGTGCTAAGAATGTCTATCAAATGCTCAAAGCCAATCGTTTCAATTATACCAGATGACGTATGTAGAGTGACAGAAATTAGATGAGGAAGACGACGATGGGTCAGAGATTAATGTGTACACGATGGCGTGTATCTAACAAGGGGGTAATCCATCCATCGGAAACTGAAGCTTCGCTTGGGAGTAGCTGACTATCACTGGCTGTTAGCATTCCATTGACTCCCATTCATTTTGGCGTCACATTTGACAGTGAATAACTTATTTATTTCTTATCAGAAATACGACAATGGATAAAAGGCTCCATTACTTTGTATCTTACGTTAAGGCCCTGTAGAAGGCGTTTTTGTAAAAATAGGCAAACGATTGCATCAAAACGAATCGACTCTCCGTCACACAGTTGAAAAATTACTATATAAACAGAATGAGAAGCTCATAGGCAATCTTTTACGGTCTGTTAGGCAATCGGGTGGACATTGAGGCATAAGTCTAGGCAGAAACCCATAGATCGAGAGTTCATAAAAGCAACAGGACAAAATATTTCAACAACAGATGTGTTTTAGATTTCAATTCAGGTTTGGCTTGGCACAGCTACTAGAAGGTCAGAACGGTTGCTCACGCCAGATCTATGTCATCAAGCTCAGTTTGAGGCTGCACAGTACGCTTGGCTATCAGGAAGTGAGTGCATCTAATTGGCTCTAACTTTCTCCGTTGAAATCTATGGGGTCGCTATATCCATTTATTTTACTGTTTGTCTAATGGTTTTCTGGGTTGTTTTGTTGTCTAACATTTATGTGAATGTTGTACACCTCCCCATTACAAACTTTCAAAACTATCAATGTTATAAATGACCAACTTCTAAAAAGAAATGTATAGTTGTCTTTGTAAAGAATTGCTCGCTTATATATGTAGTTTTGGTGCCGCTGCTATGACACTGTACAAACACTTCCAGTGTGAATACTCTCGCGTGTCTGCAGCTGCAGTGACGATGTAAGTTAGTGCCGCTCATGTTTGCAGTGTGAAACGGCCATAAGGCTGAATCGGATCCATAGATATAACAAACTGCGGCTAGGCAGTATGGGGAAACACAAGCTAGTTTTATATTGCAAGTTGTGTGGTTTTGTACTGTTACTGTTGCGCATACCTCCATTTTTGCATTTGTCCATCTTGGTACTTCAACAACCATGTGGAAAATGTTCTACAGAGTAAATAAAAATGATTTAATAAGAAAAAAAAATTCAGGAAGTAAAAATGCATATTAAAAGTCATATTTATAAAAAGAATACAAAAAACTGTAAAGCCATGAGAATGATTAATCAAAGTTTGACACACATAAGATATCAGAACAGTTTAAAGTATTGAACGATTTTAAATGACAAAGGGTTAAGATCATTCCTCTCACAAACTAAGTCCCTTCACCCGATAAAGAGCTGATATACACTGTGCTGTGCTGGATTGTGAAATGACCATACACTTCCAAAGGGCTCCCACAAGAGAGGCGGTTATCAACACGGTTATGCGGTTATGTAACCCTGACAAGAGAAACTAGGAAGACATTAAAATTCTGTACCTGAGCTTCATCTGCACACATGGGTATGTCATGGAATGGTGAAATATACTTGCCATCTGAATTCTCTGTTAAAAAAAAATAAAGTTATATTTGTAACATAATATTTCTATACACATAAAAATTTCAAAAGTAGTTGCGTGCTTCAATTACTTGTACATCAGATCACTTAAAACCTTGCAGAGCAACCGTTTTCCATATTAAGGCACAATGAAATAAAACAAAAAATCTATAACCTAGCTCTTATTCGCCCCAATGTCCATCATAACATGCAATGAGTTGAAATCTTTTTAAAGAGTCACTTTTTCAACTCACACAAAAGTGACCACAGCTGTCAAGCTAGAATTATAAAGGTACACTGAAATAGACATACTTTAAACAGATATAGGTACAGTTAAGCAGTACCTTTTGGGTACGTAACCATTAAAAATGAATATGCCTGTGTGATCATTTAGAAAAATATTTGTACAAAGCTTTAATATTTATACAAAACCCCAGGCTTCAAACTTTATTAAATTAGTTTGTTTTATGCATTTTTAAACAAGACAAGTCAGAACATCAAGAAAGAACTGAAAACAGAGAATTTATCACACCACTGTTCTTAATTGCATGAAAGAAAGAAGCTCAGATATTCTGAACTGGGTATTCTAAAGTCATATGGGGTTGACTTTGAAACTTAAATTAGTAAATTCATTGTGTTGATGTTAATGATAATGACGTTAATGGTTTTCCCCATTGTGCATATAATCTGTCAATCATGTTAATTGTCAAGAGAGAGATGATGATGTCATGCTGCTGATAAGGGTGAGACGTGTAATGCACAGTTGGCAACTAAAATAAACATTTTTTTGAAGAGACTCGTTCAGTATATCTAGTTAATATAATTCATATTTCATTTATCTGAGGTCATTTTAAACAGAGCAGACAAAATAACAAGACACAAAAATTATATAACGTTACTGCGACAATATGAAGCAATGAGCGACCCTGTATTTGCCCGTCCTTCATTTACACATTTTAAATGGTTGGCGATTAAATGGTTACTTTTATTGTTAATAATCATAACGTTAGGTAACAATACAACATTGTCGTCCATTTGGTACTTTCAGTTTTTACTATGTAACCGGTCCGGTACAACAGGTTTGGTTCATTTGAACCAAGAAGAACTTTAAGCAAACCCACAACTAATTAGCCATTAAAATAAAGTTTTTGGGCTGAATATCAATTTAATATCGTAAATTCATCAGTTTAGGTCATAAATGACGCGAGGAAAAGCGACACGTGGGACTTGCGGCCCAACCCCTTTCATCAAAATTCAATGAACCTCCCAGACCGTACAAACTCATCATCAATCCTTCAAGAACATAATTCATACTTACTAAAATAGAGCCTATAGTTCAAGGTGTTTGGGTTTCCTCTTTCTTCAACGGAGAAACTCATATTGTGCGCTATTGTGTGTTGCGTCCAGTAGGCTGTGTGTTAAAAAAGAGGACACTCTTAGAGGTAGCTCAAGCTTAGGGAAACCGCACATGCGCAGAAGCTGAATTGCGCATACGATCTTTATATAATAGATAATGATGATCAGTGCTAAAAAAAAAGACATTGTAAACAAATTCAAATATCACATTTGTAACAAAGTAACGTTTAATGTGTTCAAAGACAGTTTTGTATATTTTCACCTAAAACAGCCGTGCAGATGTTTTGTTGCTTTGTTCCACAACCTGTTCAAGTTGATGTTCACCTGGTTTAGGTGGTCAGCAAAGTGATCTCCCCTAACTGTATTCTTTTTTATATTTATATTTTGCCGTTGGCGTTCAAGCGACGTAATTCTCCCTTGACGTCATATCCTTCCAGCGCTCTTCGCTTCCTGCCTGGCGGAGGGAGGGGACGGTGCTGACGGCTGGGAGGACGAGCTTGACGTGAAGAAAGCCTTGGGAAAGCGATAAGAAACGAGGGGAAAGGGCCCGAGGTTTTTTACCTTGTATCGGGAAAACGTATCGCTCGACTCTGATTAGCACCCGAAGCAAGTGCAATGTCGTCCAGTCGTCAGTTTAGCGAGAGCAGGACCATCCCGACCAGGACGGTGCTGATCAACGACTCAACGCAGCTACCTCACGACTATTGCACCACTCCTGGAGGCACTTTATTCTCCACCACCCCTGGAGGTAATAACCCGCCTGAGACGTGTGCTTTATGTCCCGGCTGATATCTGCAGCCGGTGTTGTTTACATGGAGACAGTCAAATGTTAGAGGGTGGCCTGTATTGGCCAGGAAGCAGTAACCACATAAAAAGCTGTGACTCAAAACGTTCTGTTCTGCCTGCTGCTTAGACAGTAATTTTGAGGCTCGTAGGAAAGTTGAGTTATTTTGCATGTAGACAGCCTGGGAAAGCTCAAAATGTTAAGACTTTTAAAACAGCGAGGGCCAAAGATGTTGCCTAGGAAGGCAACTGACTGGGCTTTTGAGGCACAGACATGTAGTTCAAAACAAAAACAGCGCCGCCTGTGCTTCGCTCTGATCAACCTGATTGGTCCGCATTGACTGATGGACAGAACAAAGAAATGCATTGCACTAAATTCATACAGAGAGCGCTACATACAGCAGTATGTACCCTACCAAGTGTAATCTTGATTGCTTTTGATCACAAAAATATCGTCGTGTATCTGATTTGAATTCTGCTCCAAGGACAAAATTCTTATTTTTTGTAATCACTCATACTAAATTATTCACATGAATCATCTTTGTGATTTCAAAGGCACGACAATGTGTCATTATTGTCTATCTCGCCCTTTTCATGGATATGATCATCATTTATATTCACCTTCATGTTTTCATTCCTATATGACTGACTTCTGAGTAACACAAAAAGGAAAGATGTTATATGTCTTTAGGATTGTTGTGCCTGGCTGGTAGTTATGCTATAAAACTTGATTACAACAGTTTGTTTGTTGTGACCATGCAGGAACCCGAATAATCTATGACCGTAAGTTCCTATTAGACCGGCGTAACTCGCCCATCGCCCAGACCCCACCAGCGCACCTGCCGGTTATCCCAGGAGTGACGGGCAAGAACATCCTCAATGAACTCAAGAGGAATGAAGCTAACAACATCAACAACCATGATGCCAAACCAGCGCAAGGTTTGTCTTTAAAACTGACCGAACTGGAACTGTTTCCACTGGGACCTCCCTGCTTTGTGCTCGCTCATCTAATATACACAAACAGTAATGTATCTGGTTGGAGGTTTAGACTATAGTGTTTACTCACACCATTCTCTTTTACTTTACTAGTGGTCATGCATGATGCACATGAGGTTTTTTTTTTCTTTTATGTTGCAGCTGAAGATGCTCAGTTTGAGATGGACATCTAAAGAAGAGGAACCAACGTGAAGAACGATTTATTACCTGGTACCTGTGTGCCAGTGGCTTGGCTTGTAGAAACCAATGTTGTGAGCCCTCTCCTTTAGCTCTCTCTAGCTGCTGGGTGCTGCATAATCATGGGGATAAATGACTTAAGTTTGCCCTGTGGAGCCCTGAAAGTTAACCTGTTAGCCTGATGAGCTCTTTTTGTTTAGGTTTCAGGGCTGCCATCAGCTGTACTTGCTTAAGTCACAGAGCAAAGGAAAAATTCTTTATTGTAAGTGACCGGATATATTACCAATTTACTGTAATGGACTCATAAGCAAATCAGCCATCAGAGATTCACTGCTGATAGTTCAGAGTACACTGTTCCACTTGATACCCTTAATGCAGTCTACTTTGTTCACTGATTTGAAGCCAGGAAATGCAGTTATCTGCAAGTTCATGTCCTACCAAATGTAATATATATATATATTTTTTCCATCCAAAAACGTTACTGGTTACAGTTACCATTTTAATTTTAAAGGGACAGCAAGATTATCATCATAATTTTGATTAAAAAATGTCTTTTATATCAGTTAAAACATTGAACTTTTTTTCAGGTATTTGTTCAGCTCAAAACTATAGTTTTATAGAATTGTTAAAAAAAAAACCATTGAAACCACAGTCCTTAATCACTCATTTAATTTTTACGATTATGATGCCAAACAAATGTATACCGATTTTCGAATCTTATTTAGACCTACCCCAAAATGACCTTGAGCAAATTCTTCAAATTTCCTTAAGGTAAATAACATCTGATCACAATTTTGAAAGACCAAATTGTTACTTTATTTCAGAGAGAATGTTTCCGTTTAGATTTGTCCTGCTAATGGTATGGTACCTTTGCATGCCGAGATACTTGAAGCGTCAACATCAGCTAATAAAAGGTAGACAATACGCAGTACTGTTGGACTGGATCAAGGGTTTAATACACTTTATGAAATGATGACAAAAAGAGAGCTGGTCTCAGGAAGCACCTGCTTTATGTACCTAACAAGTACACATCATCTTATGGCTCATTTAATAGGAGAAATCGCTCGATGCATTTTTAACATTAATATCAGCCGTGACATCTGCTGTCACTTTCCGATTACTACAATCCTCAAGCCTTACAAACCTTGATAATCAAATCAAAGGTAGGAAAGCACTGAAGTGTTGTTTTGGTCATTTTACTATTGTCTGTCTCACATCCACACAATGTGATTCTTCAAAAGAGGGATAGTTTTGTAGTGACCACACATATTGATTCAGATCAAATATCTTGAAAACTTGAATTGAATCTTTCCAATGCTCTTCTATGCATGTTCTTTTGGTCTGCTTCTTGGTCTTTAGTTCACATGTCACATCATTAAATCTATGTTGTTTTTTGGGAGGATGCCAAATAGGTTTGATTTGTATTGAAAGAGAATTAAGCAAAGAGATTATCTAAACAAAGTGACTTAAAGAGGATAAGACTTATTCTCATGACTTCAATTGTCTCTTTCTGTCCTCTAGTCATTCTCTGAAGCACAAATGTTTTTTTTCTCTCTCTCTCTCTCTCTCACAGTAATCTTTTGTGCTTAGCTTCTGTATCCATGCCTTACTTTACTAAGCTGACCAACTGTGTCAAATACAGTTCTCTTTCATACCTTAAAACAGGATCAGTTCCTTTGTTTAATTTCTTTCCGACTTTCAAGTTGAAGATACGATCAAGATATTGCTATGTTTTACTAGAAAACATTTATATTTTTGGAAACATGTTTGTTACCATTTACTTTCTTACAGAGAAGGGAATATTTGCACATACGGCAGTGTAATGTTTGTAATACGGATTGGTTAAAAAAGAAATGTAGTTTAGGTTCCACTTTGTTCAGTCGCAAACAGTTAAACTTTCTATCATGTATTCAATACTGTTGAAATCCTTGACAATTTGATGCAGTTTTTACGGTTTAAATCATTGAGTTTTGTGAAAGTCACATTCAAGTAGTGCTTTACAGTAAAGAAAAAGTATATTATACTGTCTTTCTGTAATAAATTTGAGTTGTCAAATCTCAGCTTGTTTCAACTCTGCAATATGGAATTTAAGATTATTTTTTAAAGATCATTGCTTACTTTTCCCTGCTCTCAGAAACTATCAAGAATGCATTTAGCTCTGTATAAGGGGATTTTGGATGGAAGTGTTTAATCTAATGTGGCGGAAATTTTCTTTCTGTATTTTCTTTTCTTCTTTGAGACCCCGTTTGGTTGAATTTTAAGGAAATGCCAATGCCAGTGGACACTGTTACAGCAAAATTAATAAAAGTTCCTTGATATCAACTGTCTTGTCTTCTCTCCCAAATGCGTGAATGTAATGTTAACAATCTATTGGGTTTGAAATTGTAGTAGGTTTCCTACTAGATGGAGGGATGACAGCACAGCTCTTAGTTTTGTGACTGCAAAATCGAGAAAAGAAAGAACAAAGATGCTGGTCCTCTCCAAGTTAGTCGAGGTGTGGGAATGTTTTTTAAGTATAATAACCACAGTAATTGTCATTATCACCATAACTTTATTGCTGTTTACAAATAGTTTTGTAAGTCCTAAACGGTTTACACTAAAGGGAGTTTTCAATGCTTTTTCCTTGTCTCTAGCTAGAAGCCCTTACATGAATGCCTCGTGTGAAGAGAGCTTGGTTGCTTGGAAACTCGTGGCTACACAATGTGTCCACTCCACACCAGCAGTTTAAGCAGAGGCTGTTTTCAATCCAATGAAAGACATTAGACACAGTGTCAGGGAAATAAGAATTTAGCTTGAGGCTTTTCATGCAAACTTTGTGTAATTCTTAATTTACATATTGAATAATAGGCAACACTGTTTACAATGTTACACTGTGTAAGAAAAAAAAACAAGTTTGGAAATTGTACAGATTATGTTTATCAATGTCAGTTTATACTATGTCTCCCAAACCTCAGGGTTTTCTGCATTCCAGGCATGTGTGCAGCGCCGTTGCTGGGAGATGGAGCTGTGCTGACTGGTGAAAAGATGAGAATCCACCCACCATCCTCCTCTCCCATAACATTTATTGCCAGTGAAAGAGGCGGATGGAGGAGGTGGCCATTCTTTCCTCCCCATCCGCACTGCTGTATGTTGAGACTCGCTCTGCTGGAATATTACACCTGTGACTGCATGTATTTGGACCTGCGAGGGGCATTAATTGACATGACTCAAGATGAGTGTGACATGGGCTTGGTCTTCTACAATTAATTGTCTCTGTCAAATACTGACAGGTGTCTGAGAAAACGGGTAGCCAGGTGAGGAAACTTTTTTATTATATTTGTACTTTACATATTACCTAACCTTGTCTTGGCTTCAGGACTCTGTGAAGTGTATAATTCTGTCTTTTTGAGACGAATAAACTCTCAGAACATTATTAAACAAAAATATCTAGTTAGTGGGACATTGTTTTTACAGTTGAATAAACATTTTAGACACTATATTGGTATTGTCAGTTACTTCCTCCGAAACGAAGAACGACAATAAAGAAGCCATAGAAGAAGAATTACGTGCTTGAATGATTCATGTTTTGAACGAATCGGTTGAGTGAATGATTCCATGCACGAGTCACTTCTCGACGTCTATGGCGTATCGATGTAACATGGGTAAAAAGTGAACAAATAAAATACCAAAATATTCTTTATTTCAAAATTTTCTATAGTTTGTTTTATTTATGGCTAAAAAGAAACAAATGAAGATATCATATTTACTGTTGCCGCAAAAAAACTTAAATCTATCATTAGGCCTAGAAACAAAATAATCTCTCACCTATAGTTTGTAAAGGTAGTGAATTAAAAGTTCTTAAGCGGCGAGACGGCGAGTTTACCCAAAAATTAAAATTCTGGGTATTGTACCTGCATTGTTTCAGTGTTTTCATTTTCAGAATGTGATGTGGATTGATAGCTTAAATGAACAGATGTTGTCGTTTTCAAGCTCCTCATTTCTCAGTGTGAATGAGGATGTGCCAATCACTTCTCACTCCCACTCACTGAATATCTGATCTGTGCAGCCTTGTACAAATTCATCCCGGGGCCTTTCCCATCCAAATTTAGAGATTGTTTTTGTTGTAGTTGTTTTTTGTTCTGTGACCGTGATACTCGGGCACAACTGGAATTTAAATCAAGCCCTGCTCTTGATGCCAGCAACTCTGTATCCCAAACATTCAATAGACCAGCCAGTTATATAAACATAAAGCAGGAATGTCCTAATGACATTTACAGAACTATCATATATTTCCCAGTGATATCTCTCTGGTAAAACTTGAACTTATGAAGGAGTAGGGGGGAACATGATTTGTTTAATTAACAGCTTTATCGCTGAAATCCATGGAGGAGAGTTCAGTTGATTTCAGTAGATGCAAAGGCATCAGAAATGTTTGATCTGGCACTCTCTTTCTTCTCACTTTTGGCTTTCTGTGTAATGTCTCCGTCATGGCCTTTGAATGGGCTGTCCCTGTGAATGTCTGGAGCCGCCCACTCTGTCGTCTGTTTGCCAGATGTACTGTATTTCTCTGTGGCCCCCAAAAGGATTGGAACTGTTGTTATCCTGTCACTGTAAGAAGAGAACCAGAGAGACACTGAGCGAGAAAGAGAAGAAAAGACCCTAGCAAATCTTCAGTGGTGATTTGTTTTGAAGCAAAAGGCTGTTTATGTTGATATTCTCATAGCAGCAGGAAACTTAGTTTGTTTTTTGGGATTTACACTTAAAGAAAGACCTGAACCCTTGCTGAAAAATACGATGCAAAAACCAAAGGATGTGAACACACGCGGCACAGCTGTGAGACCGTAAGCCATTCTTTTTACAATCAAATAACATGACAGAGATGCTGTGCACATGCAATTTAATAGGTGCGTGGAACATATTCAAAGAGATTATAAAACTTCAATAATGTGTATTATTAGGGGGGGTTGTTGTGGAAATTGGATCGTTGTGGTCTCACTGCACAGACCACAGTCCATCTGGCCCTTTAAAATATGCCAATGTTAGAAATAACCCCATGTAAAATGACTAACACGTCTGCCTGTTTACTTTATATTAGTCACAGTATAAATCCTCATTCCAGTTCTGTGCAGATTATGGGTACGAGCGCCAGTGCAACTTCCCAGGCTGCTCCGCTTGCACCTACACACCAGACCGATCACCAAGGGAACAGCATGGCCGGGCACAGGCGCTCACTACCGTCGGTGAACATTCGCAACAGCAAGGCTAAGTCCATCATCACAAACAAGGTGGCCCCTGTTGTCATCACGTAAGTGACAAGTGCAACATGATGCATTTTAAAACTCACCGTAAGTGCCCACTTATGCACAAAATGTCACGCCAGTGTGTTACGCTTTGATTCAAAACAGTGGTGAATGTCCTCAACCACTTCACCTTGAATTAAAGGATAAGACCAACATGTATTATCAGTTGTATGCCTGACAGTTTTGTCTCTATACAGAAATAACTGCAGAGAAGAGTTTCAGATTCATGACAAGATCCAATCTTCCAGCTACTCGAAGGGAAGGATATCTGACCTGCTGCCCGAGCACTACCTAGTGTTGGTAGGTTTGTCTTTTTGAGATTTAAACGAAATATTTAGTGCTTATTGTTTGAAACGCAATGCATTAATGTCCAGGATATGTAGATCAGTGCATGGAAATTCCTTGTCATTTGTTATGAAATATGTTTTATGACTTGCTTTTATGTTTTCCAGGGGGAGTTTTTTATGATACAGGATGTATACAATGGAGCTGATGTTTTAAATACTACAAAAAGCCACGGAGCCCCCAACTTCCGCAAGGTCAAGGGAAACTACCCCCTTTTTGGAATGGGCCAACCTAGCCTGAATGGTTTCAAACAGGTTCTCCAGAGACTGCAGATTGACGGCTGTGAGGTCAGTGAGTGGTCCTTTGAGTTGGAAGTAAGGCAATGAGGAACGGATACAGTACACTTTTAGGGTCCCAAAGTGTTTTTTGCTGTAAGACTCATTATTTTTGTTAGCTATTAAGTAGCATAAAGCTACATCAAATTCCCAACTCCCAAACTTGACTACCATATGTTCAGCGAATAGGCATTCAAATATCAATCTCAGATGAATTGCTGTTTATCTTGCAAAATATGTGAACAGGAGGTGATTTTCATCTGCGTGAGGGAGGAGCCAGTGGTGTTCTTCCGCTCAGATGGAGACTTTATTCCGTACACTCCCAGAAGAAGAGAAAACCTCCATGAAAACCTGCATGACCTGGACAGAGAGCTCAATGCAGAGCAAATAGAGCTCTCCATTCGAAAAGAGGTCAGTTATAGAGCAGAACAAGTTGTGTAAGGAGGATTGATTGCCATCCTTTTATGGTGAAATGTGTCATAGTGTCTGTTCTATGTCAGTTTTTAATTCTCTGATTTTTTCTCCAGTTGTGTGACTTTGCCAAGCTGAGTGAAAATATGTTCTATGTCTATAATGACATTGAGCATTTTAAAGATGAACCTCAGCATGTTCAGATTACGTCAGAGGAGGACATTCATGTCACAGAGGAGGTCTACAAAAGACCACTTTTCAGTCAACTGTTACACAGGTATTTCCTCATATTTTGTTACATAATAAAGGTGTTTATTAAAAACTTTTAAAGGTTTGGGGTCGCTAAGATTTTAAATGTTTTTTAAGTCTCTGGCTGTGGCTTTCTCGCACAGGTTGTGTTAATTAATCACATTTAATTTCAGAATTCACTGATGAATAAATGAAGTTCAGAAGAACAACATTTCTTTGAAATAAATTATCTTATTGACTGCAAACAATACTGTACACACAAAAATAAACGACGATGACATGGGAAGAACTTTTCAAGACACTTATAATAATATATTCATATAAATAAAGAAATAAAAGAAACCTGGCAAAATGTATGCTGACATTTTTGTTATATATATATTGTTTGATTGTACTTTTTATGAATTTAGATATTACAGATTACCACTTCCTATGGAAGGGGCACCACTGGAGGAGACATTTGATTCTTTTGTTAATATACTCCGGGTAAGACCTCTATGAATATATTATATCTTTTTTCTCACTCTTCTTTCTAAGTTTAAAATAACTCCATGTGAGCTCTAGTTTATTTATATCTGATGATTTGTGACAATGAACCAATAATTCATCCTAAGAACCCAGCACTAGCCAGCAAACTTTATTTAGATTTCACTGTCACTAATCATCAATCTTTTAAAACCATATTGACACAAGTTTTAAATGTTAACTTAAGGCCATGAAAAATGTCTTCCGGTATCTGCTCATGATCAGGAAATGATGAGATTTTTTTTTCTTCAGTTTTTTCCATCTTCTCCATCTTAATTTTACTTTCCTTTTATCAGAGTTGGACTGATACAGCCAAGAATGAATATGTATTCTCTTTTGAGGTTACAGAAATGTATTGTAACTTATTTGCCCGGCTTCACAGACAAGGCCGAAGCCTAGTCCCAGACTAAAATGCATGTTTGAGCTGTTTTAACTGAAAGCAACTTGAACTGACATATCTTCAACCTTTGACAGTTCCATTGTTTTGTCTCAGGATGGATTCCTGTAAGGTTTTTTTCTAAAGCACATTTATTCACTCACCTAAAGGATTATTAGGAACACCATACTAATACTGCATTTGACCCTCTTTTGCCTTCAGAACTGCCTTAATTCTACGTGGCATTGATTCAACAAGATGCTGAAAGCATTCTTTAGAAATGTTGGCTCTTATTGATAGACATCCCCACACCATTACACCACCACCACCACCAGCCTGCACAGTGGTAACAAGGCATGATGGATCCATGTTCTCATTTTTTTTACGCTAAATTCTGGCTCTACCATCTGAATGTCTCAACAGAAATTGAGTGGTACCCGGTGTCTTCTGCTGTTGTAGACCATCCGCCTCAAGGTTGTGCGTGTTGTGGCTTCGCAAATGCTTTGCTGCATACCTCGGTTGTAACGCATTCTCCCCTGTCCTCTAGCATCAACAAGGCATTTTCGCCCACAGGACTGCCGCATACTGAATGTTTTTCCCTTTTCACACCATTCTTTGTAAACCCTAGAAATGGTTGTGCGTGAAAATCCCAGTAACTGAGCAGATTGTGAAATACTCAGACTGGCCCGTCTGGCACCAACAACCATGCCACGCTCAAAATTGCTTAAATCACCTTTCTTTCCCATTCTGACATTCAGTTTGGAGTTCAGGAGATTGTCTTGACCAGGACCACACCCCTAAATGCTTGGAAGCAACTGCCATATGATTGGTTGATTAGATAATTGCATTAATGTGAAATTGAACAGGTGTTCCTAATAATCCTATAGGTGAATCTAGAAGCTTCTTAAATGTCTTAATTTAACCAAGGCCTAATTATGGCTTAATCTTAGCCCTTTCTGGGAAATATAAAACTATGTCATTCTCATTCATATCACAAATACAATATATAACTGCCTATCATTATGTATATGTGGCATGAACGACATAGTTTTATGTTATTCGTTTGTATTTTAATTTAGCCAATGTTCTTCACCCACCTTTGTGCCCACCAGGAGACCCCAAACCTCTCTGTGATCCGGGACAGCTCCAGACCTCTGCCTGCACTTCTCTTCAGCTGCCAGGTGGGGGTAGGACGCACCAATCTTGGCTTAATTCTGGGAGCCTTAGTCTTACATCACCTGCAGGGGGCATCAAAGAGCCTCAGGTACCTATAGTGAACCATTAGTGCCGTTTCAATACTGTTTACCAAAGAATAGCATTACTTATAAACTAAAAACACTTTTCTGTAAAAAAAAAAAAAAAATGTTTTAAGGTAATTTCTCTGTTTAAGTTCTACTTATTCTCCATTTCTTTCACAGACAGGAAATACAGAAGAGTGAACACAAATTGGATTTCCAAGTGATTCAGTTGCTAATCAGTCGCCTACCTAAAGGCCAACAACTCCTTGATGAGGTTAGAGCGTATTAATGATGTTTGTATAACCCTTGGTTCATGAAGTGGTCCAATTGCTTTCAAGGGTATATTCATTTGCAAAAGCAATAGAAGTAAACAGAAACCAAGCATTTTACTCCTTACAAAACATACCACTTTAGGCTTTAATTAATGGTTTTATGTAAATCATATTAAGTGTTTTTTTATGTATACACCATAGGTTGATGATGCTATTGCTATGTGTTCAGAGATGCATAACATAAAAGATGCTGTGTATGAAAACAAACTAAAGCTGGAAGGCATTGGGAAAAACTTCGAGTTTCAAGTGAGTCTAGATTAAAACATCAATGTGTTTGTTTTTGTTTAACTGCTATTAAACTTGCTTTAATGTAAAAATTGTTAAATGAAGGTCACATATTTGTGTCATTCACACTTTTTTTTTCAGGGAAGCAGCACAAAAGGCTATTTCCTGCAAAGAACTCTACAGAGTCTCGAGCGCTATGTGTACCTAGTAGTGTTCAATGCGTATCTTCATGATCAGGTATTTTTTTAACTAAATTGGACATCTTATATTTAACAGCAGCAATGTCTGCCAGAATATGCATTACCAGCTGTCTTTTTCCATCTCTGTAGTATCCACAGGCATTTTCCCAGAGCTTCAGTCAGTGGATGTGTATGAACGCTTGGATCTACAGACTGCTGGCCAGCATGGATAGCTCAGAACTCTCAGCACCAGCAAACCTTATAAGCAATGGGATTCGAGTTCTGGTAAGGGCTCAACCGCAAACACAATGAACAATTTTCGATTCCCAGATCATTAGTTTATGGTTATAGAATAAAAAATAAAGTTCCTAGAATGTTAGGAAGTGGTTTCCTTAAAACATAACCGAAGGGGAACCATACACTAATGTTAGGGGAATGTTCTGTGTCTGTGGTGATGACAACAGATAAAATGTTCATAGTTATACTAGATTATGTTCACTTGCATCATATATTTTTTCTTGCTTGAGTTAATCTGATATTTCAGTCTTTCTGAAAGCAAAGACTGAATCTCATTAACATGAGATTTTATAGCCCGGCTCTTATCAGATGTGAACTGTGACCTCCTTTTCTTTCTCCTGTAGCAAAGCAGATTCTCCTAAAACATAGGCATCCACTTATAAACATAATAACTTTTTTTTAAAAGGTGTCCAGTGAGTTTTTGGCAACGGATCTGCTCAGTACAGCCAAGGAGATGAAAGTGGCCAATTTCAGACGTGTTTCAAAAATGGCCCTCTATGGAATGGGTCAGCCAAACTCTGAGGTAAATCCTTTCAGCAGCTCAGTCTTCTAAATGGCATCTGTCTGTACACTAATCAAAGCGTGTTTGTGCCCATTTCAGGCTCTTGCTGCTGTGATGTCCTACCTGACAGACCAGAGGCGAGGGCACTCCACAATTCTCTGGCTGAATCTGCAGGAGGAGCTTGCGCTGGAGGCAAATGGACTAATGTTTACCCCACGAGAGCCAGGCTGTCTGGAACAGCCTATTCCCGTCTGTGTTCAACATCCACAGCAGCTCCAGGTGTGTTTCTGTTCAGGGAAGATCTGTGGTAGTATGTATACATGTATTATTAAATGGAATTAAAGAGGATAGTCTTTATTTCTGTGGCTTTATATTACTTATACTTACTTTTTTATATTAATACAAATTTTTGTAGGTACAGAATGCATTCTGTGTGCAATGTAATACAACAGTACAATTTACAGTTCAATATAATGTGCTGTATACAGGGGCCCAACCTGCTAAAGCTTTCAACAACACATCATGTGTGTTTAAAAATGTATAGTTGTGGGGATTCTGATTCATCCAAGTGACTTGAATCGGTTCACCAAAAAGATTTGTAATTTGTTACTCCCATACAGTGGCGTAGCCACGAGGGGGCCTGGGTGGGCCTAGGCCCCCTCATTTACATGTCCGGTCCCCTCAGATTTCTGATTGCTTAAAAAAAAAAAAAAAAAAAAAAAGTTGTTTTATTAGGATTGATAGATTGACCAATCAAAATGCTGCGCGGTAAAATGCGGCTTATTTTCAAACTTGATTTGTTTATATAACGTGTTGCGCGTAACGTACGCTGTCATCTTCATCTTTGCCTTAGAGTTAATATGCCGTGACAATGGCAGGCGCTCAAACTCAAAGTACAATATTACACTTTTTTTAAAAAGCATGGAAAGATCAACTTGATATATATATAAATAAATGTTGCCCCCTCATTTAAAGACGGGACCCCCCAAAAATAAAATTCTGGCTACGCCCCTGCTCCCATAGATATACACTACAGTTAAAATATTTGGGGTTGGTAAGATTTTTTGAATGTTTTTAAAAGAAGTCTCTTATGCTCCCCAAGGCTGCATTTATTTGAACAAAAATACAGTAAAAACAGTAATATTGGGGTGAAGTATTATTACTATTTAAATATGTATTTTCTATTTTAATATTTTATTGTTTTTCACAATTTTCTATTGAATAAAAAGTTCAAAGAAACATAATTTGACCGAAATCATTATGAACATTTTAAATCAGAAGTGATGTCACACGAAAGGGTGCTCGCTTGTTGCTATCTACTATTGTAAGCATTTACATGAGTAGGTGAGTCACTCAATCAATAAAAAAGAGTATTTATCCTTTATTAACATTTGCGTTAGTTCATGTAAGTGAATTAGAACAATTCACTTAAATGACTTGTTCAAAAAGACTGATTTGGAAATGAAGGAAACGCCGCTAAAAGAAATTTACCTGTAAAACATTGAATAGACGATAGTAGATATTCGCCATTAAAAATTAGGCAAGAGTGTACATATTGTTGCTCATTGACAGTCTTATTTTAGGCCATATTTTATTACACAACTAATTAAATATTTGGTCCACATGAAGAGTTCATATGCAAAAGCCTCTAAATGCCATTTGAAATTTTCTTCTTTAATGATGATTTTTATCAAACTTGTATATTTAAGTTCAGTAATTGCACTTAAATAACAATTAATAGGTAATTATCATTGCCATTTAAGTGAAATTACTGAACTTAAATATACAAGCTTGATAAAAATGATCATTCTAGAAGAAAATTTCAAATGGCACTTAGAGGCTTTTGCATCTGAACTCTTCACATACTGTCTTGTTAAATATTTTTCTTTATACACGTACAATAGCTTTGTCTGAAATGTGAAATGAACGTTTTTTATTTTATTTTCACCTACAAGATTTTCTGCTGTAATCTAAGAACCTGAGAAGTTTTAGCAATGGTAAATGGCCATCTCTACAGGACATGGAGCTGGCACTGAAGCAGGATGTCCTGAGGTGTGAGAAGTGGCTGGAGGTGATTACAGAACAGGATAAACAGATGAAGATGTTTAGAAGTTGTCACACCATCGAGGAACTCTTCGTCCATCAGAAGAGCATTCATCCAGGTCTCAGCTACCACCGGATTCCCCTGCCTGACTGCTGTGCACCTAAAGAAGAGGTAAGACCGCTCACTATAAAGCATGGTATAGATCTGACACTTCAGTTAAAATGCTGTTGCTCTTTCTCAGGATTTTGACCAGTTGTTGGAGGCCATGAAGTGTAGTCTGGCTGAAGACCCTACCTGCGCTTTCATCTTTAACTGTCATGATGGGAAAGACCGAACTACTGCAGCTATGGTCATTGCCACTCTCACCTTGTGGCACATTAATGTAAGTCATCGACTTCCGCTATCGACTGTTGAAGTGAAGAGAGGAAGCGAGAGTTCAAATATTCACCTCCAGTGTATTGAAAAATGTCTGAACTGAGGTCAAATCAGTTTCATAAACCTGATCCTGTTTCCGGCAGGGCTTTCCTGAGTGTGAAGAAGATGAGATTGTAAGTGTTCCAGATGCCAAGTACACCAAGGGAGAGTTTGAGGTACAATTTGAGGTCTTATATCCATTGTCAACCTTAAAAAAAAAAACATTTAATATACTCAAACCCACCTGTGATTTGTAAAAGCTATATATATATATATATATATAAAATGATGATAATAAATATATATATATATATAATGCATACAGTATTTATATGATGAAGTTTAACCCATGTGTGTGTGTTCAGGTAGTAATGCAGGTGGTAAGGGTGTTACCTGATGGCCATTGTGTGAAGAGAGAAGTGGATGCTGCTCTAGATGTTGTTAGTGAGACAATGACCCCAATGCATTTCCATTTACGGGAAATCATCATATCCACTTACAGACAGGTAAAGTGAATAATATAAATGTGTTTGTGTGTATACTGTATATATATATAAAATATTTTGATTATATCTTCTATGTGGTTCGTGGGACTATTTTTTTAAAACATGAAAAGTCAACTGTAAAAAAAGGTAGCTAATAAGACTGTCAGTCATAATACATTACTTCCATAGCACGTCTTTGTAGCTAACATGGAACAGCCTTGCTAACAGCCTGGAGAAGTTCATAGAGGTACAATTTTCTCATTTGAACTGATGCGCTCAAAAGGACAAAAGGATTATTAACGGCCATTCCAGTGCCTCTGAATGTATGCATTAGGCGAACGCACACTGTATGTGTTGAATTTTAGGCTGAATTACACAAAGGCCTTGAAAACAGTGACGTAAATAAGAAGAGAGCAATCAAAAAGACTGCTTTGAAAAACCCAGCAGATATTTGTTATGGTTCAAAAAATATATTCTGATGTACTGATACAACTCATTTTGATCATTGCAAGAACCACATTTCTGCCAGGCCTGTTATAGAGATTTTATGTACAGGCTAGTTTAGAGGCACAGCTGCCTTATTCTAAATGATTTGCATCATCTATAACTCTTGATTAATTCTGTCAAATTGTGTGAATCACTTGTCAATTTGTATTTGTTTTTATCCTCTTGATATTCAGTGAGTTACAAAAATGTATATTCATGTACATTTTTAATTAATCAGTAATCATTTATTTTGTTATGAAACTTTTTTTTCTAGTGGTGTCAGACTTTGAAAGTGAAGTGAAAACTATGCCAACTGTGAAAGACACTTGGCTTTAAATATATTCCAACTGAGACATGGCAACTTGATTTAAATTACTACGTCAATTCATTTTAATTTTAATTACTAAGCACTTTCTCTGCTGTTAATACATGGAAAAGGTGAAAAACGTTTATAAATTCTCTAATTTGACAACCGTAGAGGCTGTTTGTTATAATCTATTCTAAATTAGCCTAGTGAAAATGTCTACATGAGATTATATTCAATAGATTACTAAGGAACTAACTTTCTAGAGCTGAAGTTGTTGAATATGGATCTCAGTCAATCCAGCAACATGCACCTCATTTTAAACACTGCGTTTGTTTGTGTAGATCTCAGATGCTGTTTTATAACACCCATAAAAAATAAACTTACCAAAGTGAACAGATATGGTAGATTATTACTGAACTCATCATCTTCATTGATAAACTATATCGTGCCCTAAGGATTTTGGAATAACAATTGACATTTCTCTCCCCTCAGATTAAGATGGCTAAATCGGAGGCTGATGCTCAGTGGTTGCGGTTAAGGAGCCTACAGTACCTCGAGCGCTACATTTATCTCATCCTGTTTAACTGCTACCTCCATCTGGAGAAGAAAGACTCCTGGAGGCGATCCTTCAGCCAGTGGATGTACCAGGTGAAGCTGGAGCCCCTTGCTTACCTTAGGAAGAGAAACATATCACATGCAAGCTGTTTTTCATGCTTACTTAGAGTGTATTCTATATTTTCTTTCTGAATTGTGAAATAGCTCAAATGAATTATAAAGTATTTTTCAAATATTTTTTTATTTTAAAAATTAAAAAAATACTAAAATGAAAAATACTAAAACTAAAATTTAAACTGAAAATGATAATTTAGCAATTTAATGTTTGGGAGTTCAGAGCTTGATCATATCAGACATTATGACCACATCTGCACAATGCAAATTAGATTTTTTTTCAATCATTTCAGTGACCTAGTAAATATGCAGAATCTTGAGTATTTCTTGTTTGTTTTATATCATAAGTTTTCTTTGTTTCCAAATATTCAAAATACTAAAGGAAAATGAAATGCTTTCCAAAACTTCCACTAAAAATTCCAGCTTCCCAATGTGGTCTCTCACTTTTATGCAAGCAATAATCTTACCTAACCATACTCAACAGTCAACACACAAGCGTATCTAAGCCTACCTTGATGAATGGCTGAACATGGCTTCAGACTCTGTACTGTGCTGCAACTAAAAATAGTTCTCTGAGTTCCATCAAACATTCAGAAGAAAATTTCAGTCTTTCAATATGAAGTTATAAATGTGTTCCGTCTCATTTAGAGGTTTCTTGAGTCAAACCTTTGTTTAGCCACGGCTTTCAAACTTGGTAGAAGATAATTGGAAGACTATACAGTATATAGGTCACCTTGTGTTTTCGTATTTTTACTATTAAAATGGCTGTGAATTGAAAAAAACATTAATAGTTATTTATATCTATTTAGAACCATTTTTGAACTTTAAAAACAATGAAAATGGAAGAGAATATGGCCTATACAATTCTGTAAGTAATTGCATTAAACAAATGGTAAGATTTTTTTTAAATGTAGAATTGCTCATCAAAGCTGCATTTATTTAAAAAGACTGTAAAAACAGTAATAAACAGTAATATTTTGAAAAATTATTATAGTTTAAATAGATTTTCTTTTACAGAATTACGTATTACGAACACAAACTTTTGAACAGTACAGTGTATTCATTGTTATTTTTTTAAGAAATTATGTTAACTATGATTAAGCAAAAAATTAATTAGTAAAAAGTTGTTTTCTCTCATATTGGCTTCTAGATGGCAGTTTGACGAACCCTGCTCTAACAGATATAGTTGATGAGCTTGAGTTACACAAGGTTATCATCACCTTATTTGTCCTTTAAACAATCAGATTTACAAAGAAAAAATCAAAGTTGTAGATTCAGCTGGTGCAGCACAATATCTGTTTTCTTATTTGTGAAGTAAATTAAGCATTCTGTCAAGGCCTCAGAAGTGTTTTACCATCATCCTGCCATCATTTAAGAACACGTGAACAACTACGAGACTTATGAAAATAAGTGTAAAGCTTGCTGTAAACCCCTCTAAAATGTATTCAGAAAATGCAAATATGTAATACACTCCCCAAATGAGCCTTTCAATGAACAGTTTTTAAAACAACCATTTTTCTTAGTGTAAAGAACTTCATAATAATCTAAAGAACCTTTTCCCACTATAAAGATTGTTTTGTGCAATGGAAAGGTTCAATGGATGTTGAAGGTACTTCATTGAACCATCGATCCCAATGAAGAACCTATAGTAATATCTATAACTCCTTTTAATGTTTAGTGTTTGAAATGCATTCATGAGTTTTGCTGGTTTGCAGGTGGCAGCTAGAGCTGGCATCTATACCATCCTCAACCAGCTGGGCTTTTCTGAGTTTGAGAACCCTGACGACTCTCCGATGACCAGGCTCCGTTTCCGCTGGCTCCCACACAGTGTCCAGTCTATTCCCATGCGAGGGGAACTTATTTAGAAATGCACAGTATGTCGAACTGACTCACATTTTATAAATGTTTTTTTTTAAATTACAATTTCTGTCTGACTCATTAAATCAAGAAGTGATTTAATGCATCCTGTTATCTTATTTACATTTTTGACCATCTTTGGCTTGCAGCGTTACGTTTTGCCCACACAAGACAGACATAGAAGATTGATAGCTTAAAATAAACAACACGTGAATATGAATAAAAGTTATAATGCTGACCTTTAAAAGGTACATTTGCACACCGCGTTATATAAAACATTTAAGTAATTGAGATTTTCATTCAAGTATGTGGTTATTAAATGACTCTTTTTATATATATTTGTAGAAGAATTAGCTTCATTATATCATTACATAAAAGTAGTGTTTTTGTCCATTAGGGCCCATTAAGGATCATTTTATAATGTCATTCAGTTAAATGAGCTAATATGAGAGAAAAGAGCACATGCAGCTTGAAGTTTTAGATTGAACAAACTGATGTCATTTATTTCCTCTTTCTGCTATCCCTCGACCAATATCAGTCTAAAAAAGGGAATTAAAAAAGGAATTATTGTTAGAATTAAAATTTGTTTAAAATTAGGCCAATACACTTTCTGAGTTTCGACAGGTTTTATTTTGCAATAATGGCCAACTGACCTACCTGGATAACGCTATTGACCAATCAAAGTAAAGTATTCCATGCATTTATAAGAATAAGAAAATTAGAATTAAAATGCAAAATGTAATCCCGTACTCTGTGACATTAAATTTGATTATTCCTTTTTGTCTTTATTGTCATTCTTGGACTTTCCTCATGGAAAGTGTGGTAGAAATTCCCCCCTCTACTCACCGGACTTAAGTTAACCTAATCGATTTCAGCTAGTCGGACGACTTCTCGTCCTCTATGAACACTATCACTTGGTAATAAGGTCTCCAGTGTTCCACTAACCTGCTAGCTAAGCAACTTTTTTTTTGTTTTTTTATTACTTCAGCTCATTACTCAGGTCATTATATTTAGACAGCCGCCTAGCCTCCAACTTTAACTAAACTGTTAGTAAAGTGTTTGAGCAAATGTTAAACCTGCAAGAAAAAGAAATGTTAGTTATGAACTTAGATATTTAAAAATTTCTCTTTCACAAAAGGCAGGTACACGGAGAAACAACTCCTAGTCTTTAAGGCACAGAATGTGTCTCATTTCTTTTCCCTTATTTCCAAGCTTATATTGCTGATGTCTGTGTGCAAAGGATTGTGGACAAGTCAAAATGAACCCTGCTTGGCTCCCAGGAACAATAAAGACTGAAAAACCATGTGGTTTTGAGAAACTGTATGTCATTCATATTGTAATTAATCATCAGCAGTGTCCTCCCAGCATTTTTTTTTGGTCTAATGTCATGATTATAAACAACCCTGTGCTTCATCCTTGGGCACTGAAAGCTTTGTTTGTTTCATTCTTTGATTCTTTTATTTCCTCAGGACTCAGCTTCCTTCAATCCTCAGGGTTTTTATTTATTTGTTATAAAGATATTTTTAGATTTCTTTTCTTGCTGATATTCCAAATTCCATCTCAGCTAAATAATACATCAGCCCCATGCATTTTTATATTTGGTTGTGAGGAGCAGTGACACCTGTCTTCTTGAACACCCCCCCCCCCCCCCTCTCTCTCTCTCTCTCTCTCTCTCTCTCTCTCTCTCTCTCTCTCTCTCTCTATATATATATATATATATATATATATAACTGCAACATGACTGTTCCAAATCTACAAGAACCTTAATTGCCACTCGTAAGTCAGTGCAATTGTGGCTGTGAATCATTACAAAGATGAAAACAAATTGATTTTTATTGACAGTTCTTGTCATTATATGCCATTATAACTACTTAAAATGCTGTTGTTGTTCCAGGGCATCGTATTTGTTCGTTTTCTCAAGGTATAGCTGTTCATACGTTCCAGTGACCTGTCCTGTACTTTCAGTTCACATATAATAGACAATATTGACAGTCGAAATGCTCAGCTCTGAATTCAGAGTTAATTCATTGCATGAGGAAACAAGTGAAGCTGAGGTTGCATTTGGGTTTAATAGGTCAGGAGGACAGGGCTGCGATGAGTATTGCACAGAATGATGCTGAAGGATTTTTTTTGTTTTTTTTTTTTACTCCCACTGCCATACCAGCAATGATGGAGAGGAAATGATTTAATCGTATGCATTTTTAAAATGTTTGGAAATAATAGAGTGTCGCATAAAAGAAAAACACTTTTCACTGAAATGGCTTAAATATTGCTCAAGGTGAAATTGTTAGTTGCTTTATTTTAAAGATACAATGTGTATTTTTATTTGCCACTAGGGGTCGCTAACCTCTTACAATAACGAAGGTGTAGGTTGATGACACAAAATTCCAGTTGAATTATGGAACTTGTCGTCAAGCTTATGGATCTAATGCTTATGGATGAGTGAATATATTGATATTTTATCATGACTGTGGTATGAAGCAGGGCTCCATTGCTAATGAGAGTCATTAAATGAGTAGTTCACTTAAAAAAAACCAAACAACTTTTGCTTATATAATTTACTCCTCATCATCTGGGCCAGCATCTAACCCTGGCTGGTCTTTTTAGGGGGCTTTCCTCTGCAGGGCGAATGAGAACATGCTTAATTGCTTTATACCTGACATCTTTGAAAGACAGATGCAATGATTAATCCATCGCTAGGATATAATTAAAATATGACATGATTTTAAAAGTCAACTATAACATCAACTAAGCAATACACTTTAATTTATTTAGTGTTTATAAAATTATTAAGCCTATTTGGAGAGAGATGTTTATAATGTGAAAATATATGAGTCATCGTGTGATAAGGAAAATATGAATAGGCCTAAACTAACGTTACTTGTTCTTGTAACGTTAAAATGATGTTACTTGGTGCTATGAAAAAACTTGAACTTCAAAAACGTGCTCAACCAAACGGTTGATTTGAGACATAACGGTTAATTGTTACCCCCCCCCCTTTTTTTTTTTGAGAATGGACATTACAATGCACTATTAAAACTTGGTTGTAATTCAAGTATGCTTTGGAATAAAGACCTAAGTTTAGTTTTGTTTTAAAGAAAACACTCAGTAGATTATTGCTGAAGTAAAAGCACTTCAAAAAATAAAAGTACGAAAAAGTTATGTAAAAATTTACATTTTACATCATATCAAATATACTGTACAAAATATTTTTTTCTTTTATATAAAATATTTTACAAAATATTTTTTTCCTATAAAATTACTATAAAATCGAAGCCATCTAACCAAGTTGTGTTCCAAATTTGAAGTTGATATCACAAAAATTGAAGTTCTCATGAGATTTTGTTTAGGCGTAATACCAAGAATTACATAAATTCCATTGAATTTAATTGTATGCATTCTGCTTTAACAATTTAATAAATTTCTGGAGATATCACTTCTGTTACAAAATATGAAACCTTAAGACTTTTCTGACAATGTGTTTTGTCAAGACCAGAAAATGTTTTAAGTGCCATTAAGGCTATACCACTAAGTGACATCTCAACCATTTGTTAGAGAATGATATTTTAAAAACCCTCATTATGTTACTGTATTATTAGTGTGGGGCTTTGAGGCTTGTTAGTGGTATTAACTAGCGATTTTTATTTTTCATTATGCCCTATATACTAGTTTTTAGAGATAAAACCCTTTACATTCGATTATCATGAAAACAAATCTCAGGGAACGGTCGACTATGTGTTATTAGACCAAAGGTTCATTTTGCGCCGGAGTTCTCCTTTAAAGCTCTAGAGTAATAGTACAAAGAGCCACTATTGATGCACTAAAGATGCACAAGCTGCTCCTGGTGGTTGTCAATATTCTATTGTGAAGGTTTGAAATGTCTGACTGGTTCCATGGTAATACTTACCTTACAGACCCCAGTGATGAAAGCTACTGGAAACACTTGTCTTCATTCAAAACCTCCTCCTCCACGGGTAGGGCTAATAACATGAAGATGCTTACCATATGTTTATAATGGATTCGTTATTTCTCATTTGTACCTAAAACCTAAAAAAAAGACATCTAATGCACTAGATAGTTCACTTTAAAATGTAAATTACCCCATGATTTAATCACCCTCAAGCCTATAGATGTGTATGAGACGTTCTTCTTTCAGACTAATACAATCAGAGTTATATTAATAAACATCATGATGCTTCCAAGATTTATAAAGACAGTACATTGAAATCAGTATGAAGCTCAAAAAACATGCATCCATCCATCACAAAAGAACTCCACACAGCTCCGGGGGGTTAATACAGGCCTTCTGAAGCAAAGTGAATGAGTTTGTGTAAGGAATTATTATTAAACTCGGAAGCGTCATGATGTTCATTAATATAACTACGACTGCATTCGTCTGAAAGAAGAAAGTCATATAGTACAGGATGGTTTGAGGGTGAGTAAATCATGCGGTAATTTTCATTTTAAAGTGAACTACTCCTTTAATCACAAATAATCAGGAACACGTTACACTACTGTTCTAACTAGGCTACTTTGAGTAATGAAAAAGGATAGAGCAAGATTTGTTTTTACATCAGTCATTCACATTAGTGCTTCGCTAATGTATGCGCTGTTATTGATACAGTTAATGATACAGTTATATGTGCACCACTATATATGTGCACATATAGATGATGTGCACCACAATCCACTTCCAACCAGATGGAAATGGATAAATACTCTAAATATTCCGATCCAATCCGACTTGTAATGCTGCCCGAATCATACACTGTTCGTTCGTTGGCCAGAGGAGAACTGGCCCTCCGACTGAGGGTTCTCCCAAGGTTTTTTTCACCATTCTGTCACCTGCAGGGGTTTTAGTTCCTTGCCACTGTTGTGTTGGCTTTTGGCTTGCTTAGTTGGGGACATTTAATATTCAACAATATTATTGATCTCCCTTACTTAAGGCAGGGATGAGGATGAGGATTCTGGCACCTCCAAATCTGAGGCCATGGTCCTCAGTCGGAAATAGGTGGCTTGCTCACTTCAGGTTGGTGGAGAATTCCTGCCTCAAGTGAAGGAGTTTAAAGGGTTAGTTCACCCAAAAATGAAAATTAAGTCATTAATTACTCGCCCCCATGCTGTATCAACCCCGTAAGACCTTCATTCATCTTCGGAACACAAATGAAGATATTTTTGATTAAATTTGAGAGCTGGATCACTACCACATAGGCACCCTAAGGGGTCGAAACTTGATGGCCCAGAAAGTCATTGAAGAAAATGTTGAAATATTCCATGGGACTACAGTGGCTCAACTATAAGTTTATCAAGCGACGAGAATACTTTTTGTGCGAAAAACAAACAAAAAAACGACTTTATTCGATTATTCCTTTTCTTCCTGCAGAGCCTGAGACGAGAGATCAAGAGATTTTCACAACACATGCGCGAGAATTGCGATCTCCTTCAAACTACGTTTGTTCAGTTTCTTGTGTCTTCCGGTTGGTCTGGGAATGCTTCGTTGTCCCCCCGGAAGAGCTGGAGGAAGTCTAGGGAGAGGGAAGTCTGGACATCTATGTTTAGACTGTTGCCCTAAAGTGGAAGAATATGGATGGATGGATGGATGGATGGATGGATGGATGGATGCCTTCCTTCAGGTGGACGTTGATGCAATTTTCTTCTAGAACAAACTTTGTTGTATTATTTGTTATCACTGTGAAGCTTTGATAGAATCTGTATTGTAAAAGGCGCTATATAAAAAAAGACTTGACAATAAATTAGAAGCATACACAGCGGTTTGTTCATGGACATAATGCTGATGGGGAGGAATTACAGTTGAAACATCTCATGTACTACAAACTGAGTAGCGCATCACTGGGAAACACCTTGCTCAAGTCACACTCTTAGAAGAAATGGTTCTATTTAGAACCAGGTTCCATCCCCCGCTTCATATATGGAACTCCAAAATGGTTCTACAGAACAAATTTTGGTCCCACTTTATATTAAGTGGCTTTAAGTACTATGTACTTACATAGTAAAATAAGTACAATGTACTTATTGTGTTCAGGTTGTA